TCTAGCAAATGGACTACGGTAGAAAAGGGGAAAATTGAGTGAAAGGGCCTGGAAAATCAATAAAAAAAGAATCTCCGATTTTTTTTTCAAAAACCAAGTCTTGCCGCCGAAACCAAGTTGTATACCAACGTACGGTAATGGTCGTCGGATGCGAAAAATGCGACAAGAGGCGCGCGGCGCGGCCGCGTAGCGGTCGGAGACATATAGGAAAAGAAGAGACGCAGACAACGGGAGAGAACAGGGGATTCTGTGTGAGAGAAGAAAAAGGGTCGGCCACCAGGCGTCTTTGCATGCCAAAAAACGCGATAAAACAAGAAAGAGAAGAGGCTGTTTGCAACTTTTATTTTTTTGGTCTGGATTACTGTAGACAAAGGGATTACTGTAGTTTTTAAAATTTCTGTCTTCGAAGAACTTTCTTTTTCGAAAAAACATGTTCAAAATTTTCAGCTTTTTTTCACTGGTTTTTACTGAAAAATCCTTTTCCAATACCCGTTTAAAAAAAAATTTCGAAAATCCGCCGACAACGACACTCCGCTATCTCACCTTGCCGCACGGTGTTTAGCGTAAATCCACAACGAATTTTCCAGGTCGCGGACATCTGCAAAGTCAATTTTCTCTAAGTTTCAGTTATTTTTCAGCGTTTTTCCGATTGTTTAAGATGAAAAATAGACAAAATTTCATGAGGAATGAAAAACGTCGCTGGAAATATCGTTGGATCTCCGAAAAAAGTGATTCTGTTTAGCTGTTCAGACTAAAATCGCCTGGTTTTTCCCGAATTCTCAGTTTTTTCTTGTCTAGTTTGTTGGATTCCAGATCGCGAGCTTTCCTTTTTTGTTCACAAAGAATAATTCGGCCGGTTATTCCTACACAACTCCTTTCCTATTTACTTCAAAAAATTGAAATTCAAAAATCCGCCGACAACGACACTCCGCCATCCCGCATGTCGCGGAGTTTAGCGTAAATCCACAATGAATTTTGCAGGTATCGGGACATCTTCAAAGTCGATTTTCTCCAATTTTTAGCGGGTTTTCTTAGTTTTTTTTTTCAGTTATTTAAGGTGAAAAATAGCTAAAAGTTTGTCAGGAATGTGAAATTTCGGTGAAAATATCACTTGGTAACCAGAAAAATTTAAATTGAAAAATTTCAGGTGTTTTGACAAAAATCGCGCGGAATTCTCAGTTTTCTCTGGCTAACTTTCCCTAAAATTATAGATCTTTCTACAGCAGAAACATCAGTGAAAAACGGCGAAACATTCCGATGAAACCAAAGCAAATTGAAAAAAAGCTACACACCTAAAAACAGTGATATTTCCATTTTTTAGAATAAGAAATTGAAATTCGGCAACAAGAAAATGAGTAGTAACAAGAAAAAGCGCAAAAAAAAATTTAACAACAATTTTCAATGAATTTGGGTCAGAGGGTTCCGGTTAGCCGTTGGCATGAGCAGAGTGGATTCGACTTGGGGAGCTGGAAAATGAAAAAAAATCACATTTTTCTAACGGAAAAACTCACCAAATGCCCTTTTTGTCTCAAAAATTCAACAACTTCTGCATGAAAACCAATATGATTTGTGAAGCTAGCTTGATTGGAAAATGGTCGGAAACATTTTTGGCAGAAAAATTTGGAATTTTTCCTAGAAGCTGCTAGATGAGCGATTTCAATGTGATTCGAGCAATCCAATCGGGACATGCATTCATATTGACACACGTGGCATTTGTATCTGGAAAATGGGAGAAACCTGGCTGAAAATTGGCATTTTTCGGGTATTTTCCCACTTACGACTCAAAAATAATCGATTTCGCCTTCTGTGCGAGATCCTGAACGCTTTGAATATTTGGGTTACTGTAGATTGTGTTTTCAAGTTTTCGAAATTTGTCGTTCAACAGATTTTTAAGTTCTTCAGGTTCTTCAATTTTCGCTGGTCTGAAAAACGGCTCAAAATCTTTTGTTGGCAATTTTAGAGACAAAACCCTACGAATTTTTTGATTTTAGAGCTTTTTCAGCTAACAATTTGGCTCCGCCCACTTTTATCGATTTTTCCGGAAGCATTTTTCCTTTGAGTTTTCCCACAAACGGCTTCCAAATCGCATCTAATTCGGCTTTCGTCGACGCATGAGTCCACATATGCTTTTTGAGATTTCCTTTGAGCCTAAAAAAATATTTCAGAGCTAATTAATCAGGGTAATAAACTAGCTAATTACCTTGTGGTCTTTCCACATAATGGACATTGAAATGGCTCGATTCCCGTGTGCACAGATTGATGCTCGTTGGCATTTGAGCGGAATCGAAACGATTTGTAGCAGAAACCGCATTTAAATGGTTGTTCCGCATTGCTTGTATAAATTATGCGATTCGAATTTTTATTTTCAGAATTTGAATAGGTTTTCTCGAAAAAATCCGCTTTTTCCTGGATTTTTTGAGACATTTTTAGGGAAACTCCATGAAAAAAAATAGCAAAATTTTGCGCGTCATGTGTGATGCAAGATACGCAATTGCTGCTTACCGTAGTCAGCTTGAAAATTCCGGAAAAGCATAAAATTCAGTGCAGTGAAAAAACACATTTTCTTTCTGAAATAATTTTAAAAACGAAGCAGACTTTCAAACGATTTTGTCGAAAAAATTCTCTTTTCTTTCTGAAATTCCGGCCACATTTTATCGAGAATTTTTTTTGCTGATACTGTCTATTCAATAAAACGTGGGCGGACTCACGGAACGTGTTGCGAGTGCTGTTCTTCTTTTTCTTTATTGCAAAAGAAGATGCATTTACTGAAAAGGGGGGCGACGATCGCTGGAGCCATTTGCAGGATATCCGAGAACAGGACCGATACAATATCC